CCTGGGCCACAGACGCCTTTACGAAGTGCCTTAGGTCACATTCATTGCAAAATATCCGCGATAGGTAGTTCTTCCTACTGAGCTTGAATCTGGTGTCCCCTAAGTTCAAGAAACCCCGATTCCTGCGCTACAGATGCTGGCACCATGTGTAGCTCAGGGTGTAGCAATAGGTTAAAGAGGCGTTGCTATAGGTCTCATTCGCATCAGGACCCATCTGATTCAACAACGTGGCAGTGCTCCGAGGTGTCAAGTCAGCTAGCTATGAAATGTTCAGATAGCTTGGTCGTGGAGTCGTTCTCGGACGTCCTGAACTACACCCCAATACATGCCTTTGGTGGCCCCAGTAGCAAGAGTATCGGACGTTTCCGAGGTAAACTGATGCTATATTCGGATTTAGAGGGTCAAACTATCAAGCTGGGAGCAAGTTTCTGGGCAACTCTATTCCTATCAAAAAGCTTGAAGGATAAATTTTGAACATTGTCGTGAACGGCCAAGAATTCCGGGGAAAAGAACGATTTCTAGGTCAGTCGATCCCCTTCGAAATAGATATCCCGTTTAGTTTCATGTATAAGAATGAAGGCCTTAATGATGTACGGTGCTATTTTAGAAGAAGGAGGAGAAGGTGTTCATGTCGGTGTATACTCTACTTCGCTGCTGAGGAAGGGTCATGTAGAGCACTATGAGTGCTCCATGGCGCCAAACCTTTTCTATGTCAGTTGTTGAAGTGGAAGCGGTAACAGTTGGTAGAAAACGAGTGATACGAACGATATGATACAGTCATGTCACTTGCTCGCTTCAACAACTGGTGGAGAACGGGTTTGGCACCGCGCCAAACTCATCCCGCCTGACACGCCCCTTCGTCCGCAGCGAACTAGACTATACTTACCTACTTACTTTGAGTCACCCCCTCTAAAACTTGGAGAAAAAAATGTGTAAAGGATTATAGTCATCAAGATACTATATAAAACCATATCAAAATTGTATTATTCACATCATTAGAATCTTGACTGTTGCGTGAATCAGAACAATTGCATTTCATCCTTTCGGTTTATTCCTTTTTATCCCCGCTTCTCTCGTATTCAGGCTGGTATGTTTAGGTCATAGGAAAGTTTTCCATTCGTATCGTCCCTAACATGACACCGGAAGCCGTCGATAGGCTGGTCGTTACCTACCTGAATGATCTGTGGTCGAAGCGCAACTCTCCAAATCATTTCAAGTGTGCTATATTTACATACTATACCATTTCAATCATCCTGGACAAAGTAAGAAGAAAATTCAGTGCTTTCCCTCACCATAGTGGCATGCCTTGGGTAACAGATGTCAAGCATCAAAATTTTGCTGCTGGTGCACGTGCTATTAAGAGAGGTGAGCTCACTGTTTTTCTCCCGAAATACAACCTTTAGACCGCGTTCGGCTGCGCGATCGGATTGCTTGAGCGAATGACGCGCGACCTTGATCGGGTCGCGGTCGCGCTCCACAGTAAAACGAAGCACTGCTTTTACGGCACAAATCAATTTGGCACTGTGTGAGGGCCCAATTCGAATTCTGGAGCGATGCGCCACTCGGCGACGGAGCGCCTCCTCACAAGGTCGCGCGATCCGATCGAGCGATTCATCGCGCGATGTAATTGTTCGAGCGCTCCGATCGTGAATCTGTACGCGGTTCTCTATACGTCTTACATTTGCAACTTTTTGGACAAATGTCAAGAATATATTTTTACAGTCTCTGAGCACCCTTGACGCGCCAACAGAGACGTGTCAGGGGGCTGAGTTTGGAGCGGCGTCATCCCGTTTTCGAGCTCGCTTGCTATTTTCCACAGTTTCTAGACAATGGGTTAGCGCCGCACCAAACCCAACCCTCCCAGCTTATGACACGCTCCGGATCCAGCGACGAAGACTTCGATTTTTCTCGCCTTACGAGTAGTAGTACATCTATCCCAGTTTTGGCGTATATATCCCTGGGCGATCATTTTGCAGACTTGCTTGTCCGGCGTACGGGTCATTGGGCGGGGATATGACCATAATGCATACTAGATTTCATTTGAGTGTCCAGGGTGCAGTCTTGGAGCAGGTATAACACAGCAATAAACCGTTAGAGGGGCCCTATCTATGAATGCATACAACGGTTAGGGCTTCGTTATTGAGTCAACAGAAACGCCTTGATGCAGCGTTCAGACTTGCCGATGACCCCTATTTATTTGTAGCGGCGTGGCAAGAGATGGAAGTAAGAGGACTGATCTAGCCATGTCTCGCTACTAGTGTTCATTCAGGAAAGTAGGGAAGAGTATAAGGGTATTTACCTGTCTCGCCTATCCTTCTGTTATCCCACACTTTCTCAAAACACAAGCCGCGGCGCCGATCGATATGCCTCTGCGGCTGCATTCCCGTCGACGCACTGGAAGCCGCAAGGCGATGACAGCACGTCGACGCGCACTTCCTCGCCAAAGTACTGAACGCATCTGGCGTCGCTTTTCTCGATTATCTTATCTGTTATGCTTTTACAGTTTTTTGTTTTTTTTCGGCGCAAACTTTGTATGCTTCACACTTTTCCTTTCAGTGTTCGGTGTTGATCCGGATTACACTCGTGAAGGAGGAAGCATTCCCATCACTCTCGTTTTCCAGGTATGTCGACAAGTTCTACTATTGATTGTAACTTGAAGGTATTTCCAACGACAAGGAAGGGGCGGCTAGTACCGTTGGGTATGGCGAAGATACCCTTTTTAGTTATTCTTGGTCCTTCAGTGCCATTGAGGGCCGTTGTAGAATCGTATTTCTGGGCCACTTCGTTCAACTAAACGTTCAGGAGCTCACGGGGTAACAATGATGCTGCTTCCAATTGGAGCATGCGACGATATGGCTCATTCGCAGAACGAGAAATTGGATCGTACCAACTACATCCAGGTCTGTATAGCTTCTTTTGGGGACTTCTGACTGGGTCTGTAATTTATCTGATTTGTTAGGGTACAAAGATGATGGCTACCTACCTTCTCGAGCTTGCCGAGTGATTCTTTCGCTCATCATTTCACTTCTGAAGTTCATTGTTTTTTGATAAATTTTTGTTATCCTGTTATTTACTGTGAACACTACATTTTGCAACTGTTATAAAGACCAGATGAGTTAAGCGTGCAACCCGTTCAAGATATTGTCAAGTGAGTTAGTCAGAATTTACAAGAGTTCATAGGTGTCTGCATCGGGGAACCAGTAAGATGTCCTTTGGGCCGAACGGCGCCCTGCGCTACCTAGGAACAGAGATTGGAAATAGTCATTATGCCCGCGAACGAGGTGGCATGTGAGAGGCGTGGATTGAGGCGGAGCCAAAACGGCTTTTCCCGCCGGTTGATACCTTCTTAAACCGCACCCGACCAATGGCTGGATAAGCGATGCCCATCATGATCAGACCCCCCTCCTTCACCACGGCCCCTCCTTTGCCCCAGGATAATGACTAAATGTTCATGAGATTGACTCATTGTCAGTCTTTTGTAAACAGAAGTGAAACACTGGAGCCTTGGTGAAATTTTCTTGGCCTGGTCCCCTATGTTACAAGATAAATAAACAAAACAGAGTAAAAAGTAAAGTAGCGTTTTGAAAGCTCTTATTTGTTCCGCTTCCGTGTCAAGATGTGGAATGTTTATACAAATCACAGATGTGATCGTAATTCTGTGTCGATAGTCCGGAAGAGGGTTAGTATTTCCAAGGAAGCGTTGAAGAACGCATAGCGGGTAATTATACCAAACACGAGGTTGACTGCTCACACTGTGAGATGGTTCAGCCCACCATAGCTTTGCATACATCCTAAATGTATGGATTATTTTGGAAAGCTGGAAAATTGATCCCCATTGGTCGCATAGTCTTATTCGCTGCGGATGATGGGGCGTATCAGTGATGGACGAGTGTCGCGACTGGCAGCCCGTTTTGGCCTTTTTTTTTTTCTTCTCTCGGCAAGCTACAGGACTGTATTCCTTCGTATCAGTCGTTTTTCAGCAGCTGTTGTTGTTTACGCGCTTCAACAACTGCTGCTGCAGGACGGGTTGGCAGCGGGCCAAACCTAGCCTCACTGACACACTCCGTCACTCATGGATCCATGAGGGCATATAATCGTGAAAATGACCTCATGGGTCCTTTAGGGGAGGGGTAGTACTTTATCTCCGGAGTATTTCAACGACTGCTTATCGCTTGCGTTTCGTGCTAGCTCTTACCCCCCCCCCGCGTCGCCCACCCGTTTGGAGAGCGAATTTCGTGTTGGGAGCTTATCGTCCTTGTCTTTTCCCCGCTTCATGAGCTATCACAGACTTGTCGGGACACATGGAAGTTTCGCTGAAAGCCTTGTCTTGGCGCGGCAGGGCAGTCTGTGCTCACCAGTGGGTGGAGCTGCAAAGGCGACCAAACAATTGGCTTAACAAGCTGCGCACTGCCGCAAAAATGCACTTCAAAGAACACACCTCGCGTCGGCCAGAGTACAACGACTGTATATCACCACTCCTCTTAGTTGGCGGCGCCGTCGAAGTCGTAAACAACTTCTATTTCCGGTAGCTGAAATAAGTAGTTTTTCAGGGGCTCACTTCCCTCCCTCCTCTCTCGCCCGCTCAGGTATTTAGAGTACAGATTGGAGGAAAACTTTCAGAGAAGTGATGTTTGTAAGTGGGAAAACGTGGATGAATGATAGAGTAGGATAGCGGAAGGCGCTAAATGTTGAACTGTGGGATCGTCCGACCGCCAAGTTCCCCCATCCCGATGCTACGCGCTGCTCTAGGGTTTTCTTGTTCTTATTACAACAACTCGGGTTACGCTACGTAGCCTGCCAGATAAGCCTCTCGCTGCGACTGCACAATTTCAAACCTATGGGAGACTGAAGGATCAGTCCACACTGATTCCATGAACAACGACAGAGAATGGCTATGCCTTCCTCATTGGTACAACCCTCACCTTTACTTTTTTCAGGGGCACAACTATCATGAGAGCGCAATGAGTGGGCACGGGGCTGACGACGGGCGGTTACTGTTAACGCCATTGGTGGAAAGGGTGGGTGGTGTGTGGCCAGACGCCTTCTTTCGCAACCCTGCCACAATGACATTGGCACTAACTGCCGTCGTCAGCGATCGTGCCCACCTCTGAGTTTGATTACCAAACCGGCCTTTTTCAAGGTAAAAGCGATTATGCCGATCGCTATTAGGTTAGTGATGAGTGATAGAACCCTGGAGTTGCACCCAAGAGCTCTGCCAAGAGGAATGTAGTCAGGTCTCGAGTCGTGGGAGGCAGAACAATCCTGAAGATCGCGCACCAGACTACTTTTGTGCAAAAGAAGGGTTTCCACCTATTTCTATGAGTAATCGTGGAAGACGGCCTTTAACAATGACTATAATAGCCATCTCACTGACCGGCGAATTTCGAGTAGACGATCGGAAGAGAGGGGAAGTACGGAGGCTCCATTAAATGGCCACCTGGAGCAAAATCCACTGTTTCAGAGTAATAGTGTCCGCTTTTATTAAGTTGCTTTCGTAAATGGCGACTTAAGGAACACTGTCGGGTTGAAGTAAATCGTCCAACGAGCCCTAAAACGTCGACTAAAAACAAAATGATTACTTGCATTTTACTGAACGGTAATTATTTTTTTTTGCTTCGAAACAATTTGAGGCGATGGTGAACTACTCACAACAAATCGAAATGCTGTCCTCTTTGGTGCTGTTTCTATGGGTACATCCGTTTCCGGGGTAACATCCATGAACTGTTGGGCTTTGTTATAACACATGCAGCCATTGACATAATACATCATGTCTACTGGAGTACTGGAAATTTGCTAAATATTATTCATTTTCTGAAGAGAGAATTAGGAGGAAGAAGTCAGAGGTCTTATGAAGGCTTTGTAGCCACCTTCAGCAGGCAAAGTCGGGTATTCCCTATAAATGAATTTTAAAAACGCAGTGGCCAAGCTGGCGCAGGGGCCGGGCGTCGCCATCATTGTTGGAAGGGTTGAGGGGGGTAGCCAAACGCCTTTTCGCAGCCCATCAGCCAATGACGCTGGCAACAACCGCCCGCCTCCAGCAATCGTGCCCGTCTTTAAAGAACATGCCAATAGCAGGCCTGCGTGAGCTCTATTCTCCGTGCGGCATTCGCACCCTTCAGAGAAATGCACCATTCTCCCCGGTCTGTCTTCCTTCTGTCCGAAAGGTTCGTACATACTACCCTATCTAACCGTAAAATGTTCCTTCAGAGACGTGAGTGCAATGACTAGGGAGGCGTAGCGCCAAGTGCCAACATCGTTGAAGGAAGGGCTGTTGTGGCTACAGCTGTCTCCGCTTGCGTGTACGGATTTATTGTATAGTCGTGCATAACAAAACATATTACTGTAAACGAGTTTCGACAGCGAGTAACGTCTCTTCGTTCGAGTGTGGAGCATTATTTCCCTGGCGCGTCATCGCAGCACGAGATGACTTAGAAGATGGAGTCCACGCGCAGCGTCACTGCCATGTTAGGTGAATTGGGATACTGGTGCGTAAGTCAGCCCGCTTGCAAGGCCTTTTTTGCCGCGTGTAGGTAGTAACACTCCATGCGCCCTCCCCCTCCTCCCCCCCACTCAGCATCTCGACTCACCTCGCAAAGGGCAGGACTTCTCCATGCTCCTTAATTTTGGCCAATTCAGTGAGGCAATGCCCTCCATTTATCGAGCACACCAGCTATAATCTGAAATTATTTTTTGTTATTTGGATGCGATGTGGACTGTTGAGAAATCGTCCTGCCTACTAAAGAAGGATTGGTACCTCGCCGATTTGCAATGGGAAGGCATGAGCGCACGTATTGACTGCGACTAGTTCACCGATTCCCGTTCTCGGCCCCTCAGTGTCCTTTCTCAGCACAACCCTGCTTTCCCTCTCAATTCGTCTAACATTGACCCACCTCAATGCCTCTTTCCTTAACTTGATGTGACTTCTCCTTCACCACACCACACACTTGAAGACAGATTGTACACTCAACTCTGAAGACAGTCTCACTGTGCGAGGTGAACGACCTGCAGCTGCAGTAGCGTGCCACTTTCCCCGCCCAAAAGTGAACGGGACGGGGCTGGAGGGTAATGTTACCCGACTACCATCTCCATACTCCGACCGCGCAATTCTCAATAAGCAGCACTTGCGTCGATACCAAGGTCTCGCAGCGAAACACATACTCAGCAGTAGAGAACAATAAGAACTAAGAGGGCATAGACAAGTAGCGCGTTCGGCCATGGCTAGGCGTGTAGCTGAGCGTGCGGATGCGCAGGCGGTGCATGGAGACGATACCCGGATAACACTACCCTCAGGTTCATTTGAACTTTGACCGCAGGAAGTGGTACGCTTCAGCAGCTGCGGACCCATTCACTTCCCCACATAGCAGAGATCAGGATCCACGGGGGTGAGTGCACAGTTTGTCTTTAACCTTCAGCCTCGTGAATGGCGCGCGCTATTCACTCCTGCACTAGGCACCTGAGTACTGCTGTATGTAACCACTCCAATAAAAACACCGGAAAGTCTAAATAACACAGGAAAGGTTTATGTGAGCATTGTTGAGGGCGGCTATGAGTCGTGTGAGTCTTTCTGACTCAGCACGACCCCATTCCTCACAGCCGCCTGACTTGTGCTCAATACTGTCTTACAGTATCCCTCCTGGGACCAGAGCACAATCGAAAAGTGAGGCAAGAACACAGTTTCTTACCTCTGGGTGCCTCACAGCAAGCATATTGACAAGCAGTCCTCCGAAAGAAACACCTTGTATTCCAATTTCTTTCCGTGCAAACGGTTGAGAAACCAACCAGTC